TATCGTATTGTTCCCAGGCATAGGCAACCTCTGAGCTGGAGCTGACAGAGAGAACTCAACCTGCTCAGCAGTCCTTCCGGCACAAGGTTTAACCCATTGCACCAGCTGGCAAACTGATTCTGCGTTATCAACTTGGTCATCTGTCAGGAGAATGTTCATTGATGAGAGGAGGTTGAAACAGATGGTATCTCTTCCAATTCTATGATTCTATGATTCGAATGCGCAAATTGTGGAGGTTAAGCCTAGCTCACTGCTTCTTAAACTGTGGCTCCTAACCTGAACTGGGGTCACCTTAGCTCAATGTTGGGTCCTGAAAAAATTGGCAACAGTAAAAGTTTTCTTAACATCACCTAGTGGCTGTTTAGACATTTACACAAATCCATTGTGCAGTGATTACAGTCGACTCTGCAGAAGATGCTTCAGTTGCACTTCATAAAATGGAAAATTAGCCTGAGAAGCAAACCTGTCCACCACTGCAGAACCTCACTACTAATGTAATCCACTCAAAAATCACTCTTTGACATTAGATTTATTGCCTGGATTACTACAGCAAGCAAAAAGTCACTAATTCAGTTTATGTGCAGAAGTCCCAGTTTTCTACTCACTACCACCACCATCATCCCTCATGTCCACATCACTCATTCACGTCCTCCTCCCACCCCCAAAAAACTCTCTTGGCACAGTTTTTTCACAAGAAATAGCTTCAGTAATTCCAGGTCCCAGCACTGTCTCCCACTGATGCCTCCTTCTGGCCTTGAACTGTCACAGATAATATTTATGGTGTTTTCCCAAATAGCAGAAATAAGCTCCTGACAAAACCTTGCAAATGTTGATTTGTTATCAGTATATATTTAGATTTTATATCTGGTTTGTATACCTACCAGCTTAGGTACCCAGCGATGCCTGGGTTAGTTTTTTTTTTGTAATGATCCCATTAGAAAATGCACAAGGATGTGTATAAACTAGGGCTGTCCAATCATAGAAAAATTTGTTTCTAAACTCAATTCATTTTTAGGGGGGTTTTGCGTTTCGTTATTTAAAAGAATTCCTAAATTTTTCTTTTAAAAAGTTCGATATTTACGAAATTTCGGAAATTACGAAACAATTTCGAGACAATAACGAATCGATTCGTTAATGGCGGACGCGATTGCGCAATACGCTAAAAAACCCTCCAAATGGGACAGGGGGAACTTCTGAAGCTTCCCTCTCCCTCTGTTGTTGACTGTTGGTGTGATAATTTTTTTTATCACTGATAAAACAAACAACGACTATAAAACTTGCACCAGACATACGGAAATAATAACGAAATAATAACGAAACAATTTCGAAACAATTACGAAACAATTTCGAAACAATTATGAAATGAATTGGAAAAATTCATTTCGTTTTTTAGTTGCTCCTGAATGGTTCAATATCGCTTCGTTATAAAAAAATAACGAATTAATAACGAATTACGAAATTAACGAATGAAACCGCCCAGCCCTAGTATAAACTACAATTCACATCATCATCTGGTATCTCTTCCAAGCCACCAAACTGCACCAGTAGTTCAAGCTAGTCATGATGGCTATCTGTGCGACGTTGGTCCAGATCCATCATCAGTGGAATTCACAGTACTTTCTGGATGTGGGTGAACTACAACTCCCAACATCCCAGGTCAATCACCCCCCAAATCCCACCCAAACTTAAAGTTGGTCATGATGGGTATGTGTAGCAAGTTTGGTCCAGATCCATCATTGGTGGAGTTCGCAGTGCTCTCAGAATGTGGGTTGACAACAACTCCAATCATCCTAGGTAACACCCCCTCCCCCCCGCTCACAAAAATGTCTTTAGTATTTAAAGTTGGTCATGATTGGGGAGGGGGGTGCCCAATTTGGTCCACATCCATTGTTGGTGGGACTCACAAGGTTCTCGGGATTTGAAAGTTATTTTGGAAAATACATACAAACATACATAGAGATAGATTAGATACATACTTATATAGATACATAGGCAGATACAAACATACAAACATATTTTCACTTTTATTATATCCATAGAAGACCTACCCAAGGTCACTTAAAAATTTCTCAGGCCAAAAGGGGTTGTGATAACTGGATCATTCCCCTCAACTTTCAGAAATAGTCATACATCTACTGATTTTAAGGGTTTTTTTTTAAGTTTTGACAAAAACATTTAAAAAAATAATTAAAAAAGCCACAACAGCTATATCATTGAATGTGTCTCATATTAACCAATAGAACTTCTATTTAGAGATTACTTCCCAGCCCAGCACAGATATATACTTACTAGAAGTATCAGTCAGTCCTTCTCTTTTGTCGATTCAAGCAATTATTGGAACTCTGGTTGGCTGCTACTACAGAGGGACAATTCTCTCCCCTATCGTGATTGGGGCTTTCTGATGCTGAGCAGAAATCTGGGAATTTTGAATTCTCAAACTACATTTCCCTGAATTGTGTGCTTCCTAAGGACCTCATCACATGGCTGGCAGCCAGGCACAGCACTCTTCTTAATGGTGAGGCATGGAGGCGGTTGTCCTGTCTTGTTTTACTTTGGGTCACTTCGCCAGCCAGTCAACAATCCAATAGGGTAAAGCGAGGTGCACGCATAGTGTGCGTGCCTTCCCCCATGGAGCTGGCAACATGGGAAGTCTCCCATGTAGCCTGGGCAGTGGAGGCCATGTGACAATGTCCTTAGTCTCTTTCCCAGCGAACTCTGCTTTCTCTCTGCTGCTTCCCTCCCCTAATGGCGAGAGGCCATTAATTTAAAGAGGAAAGGCAGCCTTTTTGGCTTTGCTTTATTGCACTAAAAATGAAATGGACTTTTGGAGGCTTCCAAGATTTACAGAATTAATATGGAAAAGTATTGGGTAAGTTTCAATTCTTAAGTTTTTGGCATGGGGCATGCCCTCACGTCTGATATTGTGTCGTAAGTATGAATTTAACTAATTTTATATGACTTACAATTATGAACGAAAAAATTGCACAACCCTAAAAAAATACAAGCTCCAAAGTGGGAAGTAGCTGGATATGTCTGGTTTATATTTCTAGCATTTTCTCCTCATCACCTGGAATTGGTAAATGCTTGAGTAACTACACATGTCTCTAGGCATTTGTAAACTGAAAAGTGTATGAGGAAAATGAAAGAAATATCAGTGTCAGGTGGGGGGGGGCATCTGGACAGTTTCAAGTATTGTTTCCCTCTTCCACAGCATCTGCCCTCTGATAGTTCTCCCACCCTTCCTAATGACGGATGAATCCTTGCAAAAGAGAATCCTGTCGTACCATAAGGAACATGGTACGACTAAGCAATGCAACCAATCAAGGAAGATGGTAAATGGAACATAGGAACGGCACAAGGACTATGAAAACGGATCTGATTTTAACTGAGGCGTTATATATGTTGTGTTGTTGATTTGTCCTGTCTGATTGTTAACTGTTGTGGATCTATGTGTTGATCCTGTTGTTGTATTATGTTTTAATTGCACTGTAAACCGCATTGAGTCGCCTGTTAAGGGCTGAAAAATGCGGTATAAAAATGAAGCAAATAAATAAATAAATAAATAAACATAAGATTCCTGGGTTATCTTCAGCCCAACAATGTTCTGCCTTCACAATGTGCTCTACATTATACAATGTTTTGGCTTTGGGCATTTGTTTCTGCACATCTTTAACACAATAGCGCCATAACACCCAAACCATGCATATTTAAATGTATAAGGAACAACAATATGAAAATAAGTTATGTGTGTGCTTGCTTGACTTCAAATATAAATTGAGGCAGCAAATATGAATAGCAGAACACATACTGTATATTCTCTACCTAAATAAATAAATACATACATACATTTTGGTGGGTAGATGTTCTTTTGCATTGACCGCCCTCTAGTGGCTAAACTCCAAAACTGAATGTTCCCATTCCATTTTATAGAATTTTTTTGCTAATAATGATGTACACACCAATTACAGTATATTCTGGCGTATAAGACTACTTTTTAACCCAATAAAATCTTCTCAAAAGTCAGGGGTCGTCTTATACGCGGGTGTAGTCTTATGCATGGGAGTTGTCTTAACTTTATATTTTAACTGGAAAAGTTGGGGGTCGTCTTATACGCCCAGTCGTCTTATATGCCAGAATATACGGTATGTATTTTCTGTGGAAAATCTTTTATTGTTCAGAGGAAATGAAAGAGACTAGTAACAAATTGTCATAGTGTGGATTCTTCCTATTGAGTTTCTTCCTACCTCATCTCTCTTCACACACACATGCATATCCATCCATACCACTGCCAAAAACCACCCCAAGATTTTTCCCCTGCTAACTGTTTTTGAATATCTGGATGGTAAATGTACAGAATATAAAGTGAATTTCTTTTGTGCAGCTTAGGAGGTCAGGATCTGAACCAATGGATTCAAATTACAGAAAAAAAGGTTCCACCTAAAAATTGGGAGGAAGACTTTCCTGATGACAAGAGCTGTCTAAAAGTATAGTCTTCTTCAGCATGTGCCAGATCCCCCTCAATTTCAGGCTTCTGAGCAGTGTTTTAAAATGACCATTTTGTAAGGATGCTTTCTCTGTGGTTTAAATGCTCCAGCTCTGTAATTCTATTAATCTATGCATTAAAAGTACAAAGCAATAAACATGGCCATCTACTCTTCTTCTGTGCAACACAGGATAGACTTAGAATAACATAGATATAAGATAAGTCAGATTCCTGTAATATTGTTGTGAATCCTATGGACGTTTTGGTAAATTTGTGACACATGAAACTGGCAAAATGCTGAAATGGATGGTTTTCATGACCGCAGATGGTATCCATAAGAAACCATAAGAAACATGGATTATCTATTTTCTTGCAACTTAGGAATTTTTACAAGCTTTGGTTTTTACACATGCCTTGATCAATGCATTAGAAGAGTCTCCTAAATCCAGCTCTTCAGCTATTGGAACATATTGCATCTCATTAGAACACACAATTGTATGAAATTCAGTCAGAAACCAATACCCATTTGCCCACTCCCAGTTTATATAAAACTACTTTAAAATGACACACAGGTAGATACTTTTTGCCTAATTCCACAGCTCCTTTTTAAATCAAATGGTTATACGCCCAGCAAATGGAAAGCTCAGAGATAGTTATTGCATACAGTTATCTCTGACATATAAAAAGATCTTGTACTCATTTTAATAGAACATTCTATTGACATAAAATACTCCACAGACCTTCTTGTAAGATATCACTTCACTATATGTGTAACCTTTGGAGAAGAAGGTACATGCTGCATATTTCTATATACATTTTTTTTAAAAAAAATATTCTGAACAAGATCAAACACCTACCTTGGCATTGCCATCTTTCTATTGGTCTAAAACAATATAAATTTTAAAGAAAACTGCATCAATCAATAAAGAATATTGAATTAAGTGGAGTTCTTTTCAGAATTTTGACATTGTTTCAGAAAGTTTTGTGTATTGTTACAGAATTTACTGATATTCATCTTGCCTCCTTCACTTATACCACCAGATGAAATGTCTCTTTCTAGCTGATGCATGTTAAGCAGGAGACACATTATTATTCACTGTTGAAACTATGACTACACTGTAGAATTAATGCTGATTGATACCACTTTAACTATCATGGTTCAAATGCTATGGAATCCTGGGAGTCATAGTTTCATGAGGCACCAGCTGTCTTTTGGCAGGGAGGGCTAAAGACCATGTAAAACAACAATGCCTAGGATTCTGTAGCATTGCGCCAAGGCAGTTAAAGTGATGTCCACTGGTTCTATAGTGTAGATGCATCCAAATTACAATCAATAAATGCCTACATTAAGCAAGTAACATTACAATATAGCATTGTGCACCCTAGTACTAAAAGGGGAATCCATATGCATTCAGCCCCTATTTCCACACCGCTTTCACGTGCCATGATAATGGCTCACTGGGTCCCAGGAAACAGCCTCACAATGTGTTCTATTGTCAGATGATGGTGCAACCACAGCAGTATCTTTCTGGGTAGTCCAGGGCATATACTTTGTTCTCCACTCCATAGATATAATAAAGATACATCTTCTGGGCATACCGGTAGTGGACTTCAGTGACAGGAATTAGTTCAACAGTCTGTCGCTACAGGAGAAGGAAAAGGGAAAGATCAATACAAAATGTTGAATATAAGGAAATCTTTATGACACAGTTCTTTCCCATAGAAAAGAAACATGCAAACTCTCGGTCACCATTTTTTTAAAGCAAAAACATACTTAGAAGGGGCTATAAAATGCCCATTACTGGTTTTATGGTTTTAGTTTCCAGTTCTAGTTAAGCTTTCTGATGTACTCAGGTTGACAGTTCAGGATGGGTATATGTATGCATTTGGGTTGCATGAAAAACCTAAAGGGCTGCTGTATGTTTAATGGATGGTTATAAAAAAGAGTCACAGCAGGTGATGCTTCCGTAAATGTTAAAGTTACAGAATCTGCGTCTACTTTTCAATCTGGCGACCCACAGTCTCTGTGTATGTTTTTATTATGCCTAATGCTACATTACACCATTTTATTACCTCACCCACAGTCTAAGTGCTACAAGCTGGTATCACAAATGCCATGTTTTATATTTTATCCCAAGAGAAAAGAGATGGCGAGAAAGGGGTAGGAAAACCCTAATCTGGGAAAGCTGTGGTCATACCAACTTGATTGACACATAGAAGTGATTTGTTTCTGGAAAGAGTTGTATGAAGATAAGCAGAATAGCTGCAACCAGGCCCGTAGCCAGGATTTCGTTTCGGGGGGGGGGGGGGCTGAATTTTTTTCAGGGGGGTTTCGGGGGGGGGCTGAGTTTCGGGGGGGGGCTGAGTCTGAGTGAAAGAGGGTCTAGCCTAGCAAACCTTTTGTATCATTAACCCAATACCCCCATGCATATGGGATATATTGAGTATGGTGATCAGATCATGATATGAATAAACATAACAGTTTAAATAATGCACCAGTAAGGCCTTTTCGCGAACCACCATGAGAATTTCGGGGGGGCTGAAGCCCCCCGACCCCCCCCCCCCCCCCCCCCCCCCCCACCCCCCCCCCCCCCCCCCCCCCCCCCCACCCCCCCCCCCCCCCCCCCCCCCCCCCCGTGGCTACATGCCTGGCTGCAACACAAAACCTATCTCAATTTTACCGAGCTAGTTACCATATTATGTGATGTACAAGGCTTAAACTTCATTTTAATGACATTCCAGAGCAAGCCCACATTTTGGGAAGAGTGAGGACAGCAGACCAGCTCTAATGTACTTTTTCTTGCCCTCAGCAGGATTATGACTGTGTTGCCCATGTCCCTGCAGCAGATGTCCAGAGAACCCTGGAGAGCTCCTGACCATCTCTGGGCAACTTTGCTACATCCTCCCTCTTTATCCTGGTCACATGAAATGGACAGTAGCTTTCAACAGCACTCTGGCTGTTTGCTGCAGCAACAGGATCGACAGGATAGGTAATGGTTTCCCACCTTTCTTTTATAATGGTGACAACCCAGTCAGGCCAAATCGTTTTTAACCTGGCTGAACTATCTGGATTCCCTCCCTGCCTCTGTTGCAGGTCAGGCTTCAACCTCCATGGCCTCTAGAGGCAGTTCGAAGTGCTATCACATTTGCTCTGAGTTTTTTTCTCTAAGGTGCCACAAGATCCCATTGCATACTAGAATTTTAACGTATAAAGCAAAAATGTGGAATCTTTGGCCTCCTAGACATTGCAGGATGGCACCTCTCACTTTTCCTCACTACACCGGCAATGCTTGATGGGAGTTACCGCTCAAGCTTGTGATTATTACTTCTTCTTCATCATCCCAGTTTTAAAGACATCAACATAGGACACCAGATTCCCTCTCATCCATAGAAACCTACTGGGTGACCTTGAGCAAGTCATACACGATCAACATCAGAAAGTAAAGCATTTCTGGTCCCTGTTGTATTGGGAGGGGGATAAAAGCCCTCCATTTTCTTTGGTTTGGTTTTTTCTACAGAAGGAATTCCATTTGGGTTTTCTTTTGCTTTTTAAAATTTCTCATAAAAACATGAGAGTAATGTGATGTGGTTAAGACACAGAGTGTTCTCCTCACTTTAAAGCTTGGTATCAGAGACTGTTTTAAAGCCCTTCACTTTTATTTACACCATCTTTGATATGAGCGGACTCTTTGTGCTAAACACAAAATGAATATATACCTGAAAACACAGTCTCACTGCATTTTTCTGCAATAAATATGTGCTTTTCCAAATTGGAAAACATGCAAAAGCAAAGAAACTTTGAATAAAATAATTCTATTTTTATATTGAAACTTACTATCTAAGTTAGTTACACAAATTCTCTTTCTGAGCTTTTATGGACAACTTACATCAAATGAAAGAGTTCCTTACCCCACTCTTGTACCCCACTTTACTTCTTTTAAACCAAATCTGCAAATAAATTGTAGGCAAGGCAAGGGTAGGGGTTTTACCTACCATATATTCTATTCTCAATTTAAGGCTGGAAATATTTTTCTCGTGGATTTTACAAAATGGAGCATGTTGTGGCATTCCTTATAGTCATTTCCAATGTATGGCAACCCTAAAGCAAATCTATCATTGTTGTTTTGGTTTTTTTTTTAGTTGGGAGCAAGATTTCCTCAAAGGGAGTTTTGCCTTTGCCTTCTTCTGAGAGACTGAGAAAATGTGACTGGCTCAAGTTCTTCCAGTGGGTTTCCATGGCTGGACAGGGATTTGAATCCTGGTCTCCTGAGTCGTAGTTCAACATTCAAACTATACAGTCACAGTTCTCTTCTTTTGAACCATCTACAGTTTGCACCATTTAACACAGAATAGATTAAAGCCAAGGGGGTCATGATAGAAGTTTTAAAGTGTGTGTCCATCTGGGTCACATTCCTAATAGCATTAATAAGTATTAAATGTTATATCACTGGTATGTGTCATTGCCATGATTAAAGGCTGAAGTGAAGGGTGAAGCATTATTGTACAATATAGCATATTCAACTATGTACTATGAACCCAGTGCCCAGCATGCTTGATGTAGGTAATTAAGTTGTTTTTTTTCCCCAACAACCCAGCAGCTAAATAGTTCTGATGTTTCCAGCCTAATAATGTCAGCTTGTATGACCTTGGGCTGAAGCTATCACTTCAGAATTAGTAACAGTCTTCTAATTAACTTGAAAATGGGTGTCTTACGGAGAAACTGAGCTGCATGTTCCTTTGATCTAGCAAGCTGAACTCATTTTGGGCACATGTCAGGGATTAGATGAACATTGGACCCAGGGAGGCTGGAATAGTTGCGCACCCTCATTTAACTCTTGACAGCAAGCCACTCTTCCAATGGGAATATAAAGCCATCTTTCAAAGTTTCTCTTTCTCAAGAAGGCAGGCTGTACCACATGCTGAGACAGGCTGCTGAAAGTTCATACAGAACAGGAATAAGACAATGACCTAAATCCAATTGCTAGCCTCTTCCAGAGTAGACCCATTGAAACCATTCAGCAATGGATTCAGTGGGTCTACTCAAGATGTGATTTGTGCTAGATGTAGTCATTTTGCATCCCTCCACAGGTTGATGAACTCTCTTCCAACTATCCCTAAATCTTCTGTCATCCAACTTTTTCAAAACATTTTATAATGTTCCTCTCTCTTCCACTTTGTCCCTTTGTCCTGATCTTACCTCCAATTGTACATACTGAGGTCAAAGCACAAAAATTACCGTATATTCCGGCATATAAGACGACTGGGCATATAAGACGACCCCCACCTTTTCCAGTTAAAATATAGAGTTAAGACAACTCCCATGCATAAGACTACACCCGCGTATAAGACGACCCCTGACTTTTGAGAAGATTTTCTTGGGTTAAAAAGTAGTCTTATACGCCAGAATATACTGTAACTGGTAGAGGAGGACAAGAAGGGCAGCATCTTACAAAATCAAACTGCTGCAGTCCTCTCCTAACTTGTGTGTTCTTCATCATTAATAACCTTTGCCATCTGGGTCATATTCTATGATATTTCTTGGCCAGTAGTTTTCATCTGTGAACCATGGGTCCCAATAGCTCAAGTTGTACAATCAACAGAGAGGAATACAGGGAGCTGACATTCAAGACATGGAGGATTATTGAATTCTCATCCCTGATTTAAGCCAATGAGCACTTTTTCCATGCTAAGGTTCCCACAATTTGGGCAAAATATCTCTGTGTCAAACAAATGTATTTTGCCTCTGTAAAGCTAAGTCAGTGGTTCTCAACCTGTGGGTCCCCAGGTGTTGCATTGGTGCCCTGTCCTTTCCCCTATCAAACAGGGGAAAATGTGGCAATGCATGTGGCCGTTTCCCCCATCAGATGGGAGAAATAGCTGAAAACTGCAAGTATCTCCTTTGTAGCCACCCACAAGTCAATTCCCTTACCATGGTGGTGAGGAAGGTAGAATGCAACACCTCTTCGCCACTTCACCCACAGATGGGGTGGGGCCTTGACCTGCATCATTTGATGGGATCCATCAAGAACTGTCATCAAAGAGGAGCGCCAGCATTGTAAAAACTCCTTGTGTGATGAGGTGGCTAATGTTAAAGAAGGAAGATCATTTGGTTCATGTACTGGCTTACACTGTCCTCTCTGCTCTGATGCAGGTGCTCAGGCAGCAATAAGGTGACTAATGGGAGGTGGAGATTTTTTTTACCATAAAGCCATGTATTCTGGCAGTCAGATTTTTCAAAATGACAACTGGAGAAAGTAAGTGTTAATTTTGAATACTGTAACCATGACATTAGTTAATTTCTCTTTGGTCTTTGGAACAGTCACTATTTCTAAAGTTAATTGTGATTTTTGGTCAGCCCTGAGAAACACCAGAAAATTAGATCTGCAATGTCTAACAACTGACAACCACTTCAGGCTAACTAAAATATTTGTGTTTGGTAACCAGCAGTCTTATATCATATGGTTATTGCAAGGTTTTTCAGGGGAAAGATGTCAAGTTTCGACTTTATAATCAGTATTGCTGTGGCAATTAATTTCAGCCCTTAGATATAAGCTGATTATATTTTAGCAATAAGAGAATGTTGGGACAACGTGTCTATTTGCCAGGTGAACATGTGGCTTTTTTTCTAGGGAAAAAGCCAAGCATTGAGTCAAAATATTTGACTCTATTTTTTTTAACACAAAGCATTTATGGAGGATGCAGAAGTGAGCCAGCTACATGGAAAATACACCGACATTCTGCCACCTGGTGCTAAAATGAAGATCATGCAGTATGTTCTTTCAATACACATTACTTTTCAATTTTAATCTACACCACTTCTTTTTAATGAAGAGCCCCTACCTAAACTAAAGAAGCTTCTCCAGCTGGGGCAAAAATATGAGAAGTTTGCAGTATTTTGTTGCTGCAGTTCTTGATTGTTGTTGTTTTTTTATTCCATTTCTGTTTTCCCATACTATTTTCTGGCAATTCCAGGTAACAGTTGCAAAACTTTATTCCCACCCTCCCGTGGGTTTATTTTTTTCTTCCAAGACATATTGGAATAAAAAAAACCCTCTTTCAATCATTTTAAAATAATTTATGTAGTTTGACACCAACTTGAACTGCCATGCTATGGAACTGGAGTTTGGTTAGGCACCAGCACTTTTTTGCAGAGAAGGCTATTAGCCCTGTCCAGAACTCAGAAATTGACTTCAGAAATAATTAGGCCAACCTTTTATGAGGAATTCCAAATAAGTTGTCTATTCATTTTAAACTCACAAAAGGTACAGCAGACAGATCAAAGTTACCTAAGAAGATAGAGGGTCAAACATTCCTTTAACCTGATTGTTGTTCTTTTATTGACTTTTATATACTGTAACAAAGGTTAGACATTAATTGCCACTTTCGATTATTCAGTATCAGACCACTGAGGGTAAAATTTAACCATCTTTATCTCTCTTCCTCTCCAGCACAGAACTAATAGTAACTTGGAGATAGATTGAGCCAGACTAGACCATTTCCACCTGAAATGAAATACCAAGTGGTGTCCCTTCCTCGTCCATATCAAAATGCTTAAAGTACAAAATAAACCAATTTATTTAGGAAGAAGAAACTGAAAATGGGAAAAGAGAAAGAAACTCACCAAGCACCTCTATTTATCTCCCACAGTAAAGAAAATATGGTAGTAACAAAATAACTAGCAATTTGCTGCTCTTTCATGACCCCCAAAAACTTCCCTTTCGGTTGGTTGCATCACACTTCCTAATACTAGTGCTGCTCTCAGAGAGAGAGAGAGAGAGAGAGAGAGAGAGAGATTGATTTCTGTTGGAAAATAAACTCAGATAAAAGGGTATCTTTACCCCAATTCTCATTCCCTTTATTAACCCAGCTGCTTTGTTTGCCTTTCGGTCTCTCTACAGAATTTCCTCCAGGGAAGTATCCATTCTCTGGGCCATCACAGATGGTTGCTTCCAAGTTAATGAGGCAGTGAATCTACAATAGCTTTCACTCCAAATTTTAAAGGAGTTCAGAAAGTGACAGGAATGTGAGTGGCTATCTTTATTTGAGGCATATAATGTTCACCTTTCCATCATTTCTTTGTGTACTTGCTTATACATGTGTACTGGGTGCTGGGTGTTGCTGTGCCTTGGATATCCTGATATTTGTTTTCCTTGACAGGAGTCTATGGGGAAAGCTTTCACTTCTGAGAAAGGGCTGCACCTACAAGGCAGAATGAATGCTTTTTGGCATCATATTAACTGCCATTGGTCAATGGTATGGAGTCCCGGGATTTCTAATTTGATGAGGTACCAGCACTCTTTGGCACAGAAAGCTATAAGACCTTGTAAAACTAAAATGTCTGTGCTCCTAATGTAGGTGCACCCTAAGCTTAGATGATTTATTATGCAGTAGCAAACATTACCTGTCCTTATTCTGCCAGGAAAACTCACTGTGTATAACGAATACTCTATTCCAACAACCTAAAAGACGGCTTTATACATGGACCTCACCAGATGGTCAANGGTTCAGAATGCTCTTTGATTGTCGGTGAACTATAAATCCCAGCAACTACAACTCCCAAATGTCAAGGACTATTTCCCGCAACTCCACCAGTGTACGCATTTAGAATACTGAGTATTTGTGCCAAGTTTGGTCCAGATCCATCATTGTCCACAGTGTTCTCTGGATGTAGGTGAACTACAACTCCCAAACTCAATGCTGACCAAACCCTTCCAGCATTTTCTGTTAGCTGTGGGAGTTCTGTGTGCTAAGTTTGGTTCAATTCGATCGTTGGTGGAGCTTAGAATGCTCTTTGATTGTAGGTGAACTATAAATCCCAACAACTACAACTCCCAAATGAAAAAATCAATCCCCGTCCCCAACCCTACCAGTATTCAAATTTGGGAGTATTGGGTATTTGTGCCAAATTTGGTCCAGTGAATGAGAATACATCCTGCATATCAGATATTTGCATTATGATTCACAACAGGAGCAAAATTAGTTATGAAGTAGCAAAATAATGTTATGGTTGGGGGGGTCACCACAACATGAGGAACTGCATTAAGGGGTCGCGACATTAGTTAGGTTGAGAAACACTGATCTAATCAGTTTCAACTGTATTATGTGAGTCCACACTGCCATCTAATGCGGTTCATGCGTTTCAACTGTTTTATATGAGTCTACACAGAATAGGAAGGACAAGAGACCTCTTCCAGAAAATTAGAAACATTGGAGGTAAATTTCAGGCAAAAATTGGTATGATAAGAAACAAAGATGGCAGGGACCTAACAGAAGCTGAAGAGATCAAGAGAAGGTGGCGAGACTATACAGAAGATCTGTATAGGAAGGATAATAATATCGAGGATAGTTTTGACGGTGTGGTGAATGAATTAGAACCAGACATCCTGAGGAGTGAGGTTGAATGGGCCTTAAGAAGCATTGCTAACAACAAGGCAGCAGGAGACGACGGGATCCCAGCTGGACTGTTTAAAATCTTGAAAGATGATGCTGTCAAGGTGATGCATGCCATATGTCAGCAAATATGGAAAACACAAGAATGGCCATCAGACTGGAAAAAATCAACTTATATCCCCATACCAAAAAAGGGAAATGCGAAAGACTCCTCAAACTTCCGTACTGGCATGAGAAATAAGTGGCCCTTATTTCTCATGCCAGTAAGGTAATGCTTAAGATCCTGCAAGGAAGACTCCAGCAATACATGGA